ACAAACTCACAATCTCACAAACTCACAAATTTTACCTCTTTATAATATTATATAGTATAGACTAGCGACTCACCCTCCTCCGTTTTGGTTCGTCTTTACTAATGTTGTAACGTTTAGTATAGATTTCTCAGGGATTAAGATATTTTCCAGCAGTAAAAAGTATTCTATATAATGACCCGGATAACCAGCCGATACCAAATTTCATCAAAATCCCTCCAGTGGTTTTTCTGTGATGCGGTCACAGACAGACAGACAGACAAAATTCTAAAAACTATAGATTCGGCCTCTTTATCCATAATGATGTCTATTTCAATAAGATTTTCGAAAAAATGTATAGATTAGGAATGAAGATAGCATAGAGCAGGATTAATACATCTAAAACTACTTTTTATCGATATACCTGCATACGTATATTAAAATAATATTTATTTCTTTACGTTTCATATTTGAGATTACAGCAAATAAAATATCACCCATATCTTTTCCAGATTACAGCACGCAAAGTCCATTTAAATATCAATATATCGAAGATAAATCTAGTAAACTATAGATATTCATATTAAATTTAATTGTCATAGTAATATAGTGATTAGTTGCTATGCGCCCTGACATTGTAGGAAAAAAAATATAAAAATGATTTTTTTACAAAAACAGACAAACAATAAATAGTTTCTTGTTATTTTTGTTATTTATCAGTTTACACGTATAAGTTAAAAGGATATTATCGTCGCTTGAATAGTAATGAATGTAATCAGTGTGTCAAATTGGTGTCGTTGTGTTAAACACCAACATTTTAAACAAAAGTTTTTTTACGATCGACGCATAAATATTATATTCTTCATGGTTCACAAAGCAAAATCTTATATAGCTTGAGATTTATTGTTTGGTTTAAGGCTTGTTTTAGATATAGAAAACCGTACGCTTCACGCTTTAACAAGCCAAACCCTTTCGTCATTTCGATGATTTCTTTTCCTTACTAACATAATAAATACGAAAGTGTGTCAATGCCCTTCCTATACAAATAACTTGCAAAAACTTACTGACAGAATATAAACACAACAAGCTTTACCATTGGCGAAGTAGGTAATAACTGGTACGCTTTGAAGCATACAAGAAAATTGAATTGATCAAGATTTACACTATATCTTTTACTAGCTAGCCATTTCTCAGGTTCTCTCTCCGGAATCCCTCTCCGGATATGAAAATCGTTACTTTGCAATAAAAAAAGGAAATAATCTGGATAAAAATTATCTAATCTTTTATGTTACAATAAATCACATGCTTTAAAAAAATCTTTAAGATCGAATAAGTAGCTTTGGAGTTCATCGCGGACCAAACCGACATTTTTTTGACTAAAAACTTATCTTTATATATATAATTCTTCTGTGAGTGTGTATGTCACTGAACTTCTCTCAAACGACTGGACCGATTTTGATGAAATTTTTTGTGTGTTCAAGGGGATCTGAGAATGGTTTAGATTCACAATTTGAATAATAATTTTCATCAAAATGGTCCAGAATGTTTTAGCTTATTAAAAAAAAGTTTGAAATTTTCAAATTAAAGACGTGTAGACAGGACAACGTCTGTCGGGTCAGCTAGTTGCTTATAAATTATTATTTTAACAATTCTCAAGACATTTTTCCTCAACATGTACAACGATAGAGATACTAGAGTCTTAAACGACATAATACCTTTCTATTTCGATACTTCGGGGATTTTTTTTACAAGACTCCAAACTTGTAATAAGTGAATTTGTGATTCTCCTATGCCTAATAAGTGTGTGATTTTTGTTGTTATATTTTTAATACTTTATTATCATTGTTTATTTTATCAAAGGACGTGGTTCGAGTGTATTTCCGGATTTGAGGAATTCGCTCAAACAGATGTTCAGACTTCAGTTCAGTCCTCATGCATTTTCGTTAACTTATTTCGATTTGTTTAAATGGAATATGAAGTTACAATAAATCCTCAGTATTTTTGGTAACATTTTAATGATCATAACGTCTTATGTACCTTTAATGTCAATTTTCTTTCAAAATTCAACTATACTGACTTGACCGCTGAATACATGTACACAATCAAATAACCATCCTCGGGTATCGTGGAGAACCTATTTGGAAGTTATAAACAATTTTATTATTTTTATTATTGAATTGTGTACATAAATATTAGCAACTGTTTACTACGATAGTTAATATCTGAAATTACTATTATTATTACTGTTTAGAAAATTTAAACTTATGTATGTACAATACACTCCGCGACAAAAGTATAACCCACCCCCCTAATTTTGTAATATCTAATGTAAGACTATATTTATCATGATATATTACTATTGCACTAATATTTTTTAATTGTTTGTAGTATTATAATATGTGTTCAATTACATTTTAAGTGGTTTTTTATATTACGGCGTGATTGTTAGTTTGATAGTGCGACAAAAGTATAACCCATAACTTACTTTGGCTTGAGCAGCTTCATGTATTAAGACGTGTCTGTTCCTTTTTATACTTGTTCTGCGTTCCTCGTAAATTATTATGTACTAGAAAATTATTTCGATTGATATTTATTTATTTCTAATATAAAAAGCCACGTGGGAAACGTTTCAACGAAAGTGAAATTAATTTAGTTAGGAAATTGTACTCTAAAACTAAAAATTGGTCGAAAGTCAGAATTGCAAAATTTATCAATAGAAGTCATTATGTTGTGCGTAATTTTCTAAAAGATTCTGAAAATTATGGCAAAACAAAGAAGACTGGTCGACCAAGGGCAACAACACCGCCTGAAGGAAGGTCAATTCTGAGAGTCGCATCTAATTTTGCTCTTACACCAAGACAAGTGCAGTGGAGGCTGGTGTTAGCACTAATTTAAGAAATGTTCAACCTATATCCACGGGTGTCGATACCTTAAACGTAAGAAATTACAAAGAAAACGACTGGTATCTGATAAACATAAATTAGATAGATTTAAATTTGCAAAAGATCATGTTCAATGGAAGAAGAATTGGAAAAAAGTTATTTTCACTGATGAAAAGAAGTTTAATTTAGATGAGCCTGATTTTTTTTAATTACTATTTTCACGATTTAAGAAAAGAAAAATGTGTATTGATTTGACGACAAGCCGGGGGTGGTAGTGTAATGATATGGTGTGGAATTGGATACTTAGGAAAAATGAATACCAAGTTCTGTACTGGAAAATTGAATAGTAAACGGTTCATAAACATAATAAATGAAGAGATTACTTCTCATGTAATGCGAATTGCTGGTCCTTATTTTATATTTCAGCACGACAATGTCAGTATTCATCGTGCACAAATAGTTAAAAACTATTTTACTGAAACAAATATTCAAGTTCTTGAATGGCCAGCTTATTTTCCTGGCTTAAATAAAATTGAAAATTATTGGGGAAACTTATTACGAGCTGTCTATTGAGGATCAAAACAATTTACCACTGTTGAAGAGTTAAAAACGGTAATAATTGACGAATGGCAAAACATGAATCAAAACCAATGAAAAATTAGTTATATGACAGTTTACCAGATAGAATGATTCAAGTAATAAGTAAAAGTGTGGATCTTCTAAATGTTGATCGAAGTACTAAATATTAAATTAAATAAATAATTGCTCTTTGTTGCATTTCTCTTGAGTTTTATTTATATTTAATTTACCTGGGTTATACTTTTGTCGCACCGCAAAACTTATATATCATGTTTATTTGGTTAATTTTGCATTTAACAAATAATACATTGGTTGTAAAATATACTTACCAATACCTAATTTTGTGTATTATTAATGCATTAATATAACTATAATTTTATATTGGATATTACAAAATTAGGGGGGTGGGTTATACTTTTGTCGCGGAGTGTAGTAAACATATTTTATACTATCATACATTTTATTATTCATTGATAAGATACGTATTAATAAGTCTACAAACGGGTAAAATATCAAACTATTAGTAGCGTATATGGCATTTATTACAATGTTATATGTATGTATGTATGTATGGACTTAGCGCCGCTCCTGGGCACAGTAAAAATGCCGCCCTATTATCGAAATTTTGACTAAAATGTTGAAAGTTAAAAACACTTTTAAATATTAATTTTTGAAAAATGCAAAAAAATAAAGGATATCAATTTTTCGAAAAATGTACCTACTAATTAATCTGTGGCGAAACACTAAAATAGTTTTTATATGTAGTTTCGTTTCGCGTTTTTTTATTTTTTGTAAAATAAAAAAAACATTTACGATAACGCGAAGAAAAAGTTTTTTCCCGACCTCCGAATTTTGCCGCTCTGGGCACTAGCCCCGAGTGCCCCTAGTGTAAATCCAGCGCTGTGTATGTATTATGTAGTTGTTTCTACTAATTTTATATGGATATAGGTATAAAGATCATAATTATCTACCACCTGTTGTAACAAAACAAACTATTTACAACGAATACGTTATTGTATATAATACATATACAGTTTATACTTTATAACGTACCTATTCTATTTTTTTAAATTCCTAACGTACATCATTGTGTTACGTAGAGTCAATTCTTTCAATAGAAAAATCAATAGCAGTAGGCGTTGAAACAAAGAAAGCTTAAAGAGTAATTAACAAGAGAATAATAAAACATAACACAGAGCAAAAATCATAATTATAAAGAGAAATAATATGAATAGCGTTGATTCTAAATAAACAACATAATATGTGTCTGAAGTTTCTTGTGCCAGAGGGAGACAGATATTCAGCTCCATACGAATTATGTCCATATTCCTATCGCTAGTACGAGTATATACTGCAGATGGACAGTTATTGAGATCCGCCGTTAATAAAATGATAATATTTATCTCATATATCATATATAAAATCATATATGAAAATTAACTGCAATATTAATTTCTATTAGTATAGTTATAAAATGTTTGTTTACTGATCATCTGCGTTTTAAATCCTAAGGCTCTTAATTAATTTAATATTATTTGCTTTTCAGAGTCGACCAATAGCAACATGGCAGGCGGAGGGACAACGGGGCCATTACTGTACGCGGTTTTCGCGGCAGTACTTGGCATGCTCCAATTTGGCTTCAACACCGGAGTGATCAATGCACCGAGAGAGTTCATAGAGAATTTCATCAATGAAAATTATAATGTTAACTCTGATACTATATTTAGCGTTATTGTTAGTATATTTGCCGTCGGTGGTATGATCGGATGTCCACTAGCCAGTTGGGTGGCGGATAAACGCGGTCGCAAATTCGCTTTAATCGTCAATGCAGCCTTTGGTGTAGTGGGAGCTGTTTTTATGGGCTTTAGTAAAATTTCCACATCACTAGCCATGCTAATTATTGGCCGGTTTCTAATTGGTATCAACTGTGGGTTTGCAACCACTGCGTCTCCCACATATGTTTCTGAGATTGCTCCGGTGAGACTACGTGGTGCTTTTGGAACTGTAAACCAGTTAGCTGTTGCATTTGGTTTAGTTGGTGGTCAGATTCTGGGTATTGACGTGATATTGGGAAGTAATGACGGCTGGCCATGGTTACTTGGACTTGCTATAGTGCCATCAGCGGTCCAATTCTTTATGCTGCCTTTTGCACCGGAATCTCCCCGATATCTGTTACTCGTGCAAAGAGATGAAGAAAAAGCAAGGAGCGCACTTTCTAAAATTAGAGGAACTGCCGAAATCGATGATGAAATCAAAGACATGCATGATGAAGATCACGCCGAGAAACAAGAAGAAAAATTCACAATTTGCGATTTATTCCGCATTCAACACTTGCGGACACCTTTAATCATTGGTGTCGTTATGCATCTGTCACAACAATTGGGTGGCATTAACGCTGTTCTCTATTATTCATCAACTATCTTTGTCAGTGCCGGATTATCAGAAGGAGATGCACGATTAGCTTCGATTGGTGTTGGAAGTATGTTGTTTATTATGGCTTTAGTATCCATTCCACTAATGGACCGTCTCGGAAGACGCACCTTGCAATTATGGGGCCTCGGGGGCATGACATTGTTCTCAATACTAATGACAGTCGCATTTTTCACGTACGAAGATAACACTACAATGAGCATATTTGCTGTTTTGTTCACTCTATTGTATGTGGCGTTCTTTGGCGTTGGACCTAGTTCTATACCGTGGATGATTTTATCCGAATTGTTCGGGCAAGGGGCAAGGAGTGCGGCAGTTAGTGTTGGAGCTTTAGTTAACTGGTTCGCTAACTTCATTGTAGGCCTTACGTTTATCCACTTATCTAAGTTATTGGGTAAATTTGTATTCTTGCCATACACTGTATTGTTAATTATATTCTTTGTATACACTAAGTTTAAATTACCAGAAACGAAGAATAGAACGATTGAGGAGGTCACGGCTTTGTTTAAGAAATAGTTTTTCTGGAACGGTTAGACTTTAGATACATTCCTTAGCATGTAATATCTATACATATTATGCAATAAGTGTACACTAAAAATGTGATAGTTACTATATTAACTCGTTCGTTTTAATATAAACCTTTGAGAAGAATTTTAAAGGACTTGTATTTGCCCTGTCGAATCGTATTTCTCCGATGTCAGGTTATTAGGAAGACTGAGACCCTACGTACGTTAAAACTTTCAAATAAAACTAAATGATGTACTTATTACTATAAACGCAACTATTATAATTATTAAGGGTTTATATTGTATGAATTTTTTTCCAATACACATATACAAGGTGGTGATGCAAATTTACATAACAACCATTTACTACACTTATACGTTATATCCAATAAAATAAATATAATTTGCAGATGGAATAACATAAAAATTAACACAAAATAAAATACCTATACTGTTTTGTAGTAAGTGCTTACATTATTGTGATTTATTTAGGTTAATAACAATAAAATTTTACATTAATTTATTAAATTTAATGGAGATATAAAACATAGAAAGTGTAAAAAAACAACTTGATAAATTATTGAATGCATTTCGTATTATATACTTTTTAAATCTTCATATTCCAAACCTACAGTTGACGACACGTTTGGCTCAGTTTGTAGTGACCCTACTTGTTGTGCCAGCAGTCGCAGGTTTGAGTCCCGCTGGGGCCATTCATTTGTGTGTGTTTGTACTTCAGTCATGGTGTTTACATATATATAATACGTATGTATTTAAAGTTATACAATGTGTAGTGTATCAACTATCTGGTATCCATAACAGAAGCCTCGTAGCTTACCATGGAACTAGATGATGCTGTGTGTTAGTGACCCAACATATTTATATTATATTACAGTGCAGTTTAAACTGTGATTTGCTCCACCACCTTGTTACATACCTTAACTAAAGTTATGGTTTTGTTTCAGCATAATATATTTACATGGTTCATTGTATTTTTGGTGGTTCGAGGACCAATTTATTTATTTTATTCTATTTTTAAGCTTTTTATTACAGATTTTTAAACTTGTTTATCATAACTTTTTATTATCGTGTTATAACTTATTCTATTGTTATTTATTGATTAAAATTTACGATTTTTCATTTTCAAATAATAAGGACATTATCGATGAAAATATTACTATATCGGTCGATATATCGATAGAGAAGAATATTTAAAATATAAATGCTTTAAAAATAAGGAACAACACCAATTACTTTATTTAATTTGTATTAAAAGAAAGAAAGACATAGCAGTATGTATTTACTATTTTCTTATTCTAACATACGACATTATTCTTACCCGTGCGCATATTAAAGCATAACGCTGGGTTCACACGGCATTGTCCTGTACGTTTTTTTTGCAGTATACGTCTTAACGAATACATAGTGTATAGAACATACATTGTATATAGAACTGTTCACACGTCTTATGTACTGCAAAAAATCGTACACCGTTTATACGTTTAACCGAATACTCACCGGACTTGTCAAGCAAATCGAATGAACTTTAACGTATTCGGTTTGCAGTGGCGCATAGTTTAGCTCTGTCTTTTTCACACGGCACGATATCATACGTTTTTAAATCGAATAGCCTTCGATACCAATATGAAAGTACAACCAAGCGTGGATCCATCACGTCTACTCACCATGATAACGTGTGAAAACTGCGGATATTTGTTTTTACACGAATGAAAATCTACCGTGTGAACACCCGGCCGATTGTACGTTTAAAATCGAATACACAAAAAACGTGCAGGACAATGCCGTGTGAACCCACTCTGTAACATTTCTACGGACTTATAGTTTTGTTAATATTTCACAGTGCCTTAACCTTGATTACAAGCCCATTTGATTACCAATCATGATATTAAATATTTAGAATTTAATTTTCGTATAAATACGCTATACAGAATATGTTGTTCAAATATGAGCTCAGTACGACCGTCCAAGTACGAAAGTGCCAAGAACAACAGTATTCAGAACACGTTATAATTACAAAACAATATATACATATAAGATAAATATGATGTATATTAGATAATTATATTATTTAGTAAAAAAAACGTAGAATGAATTTGCACAATGTATTTTCTACAACTTCTAATGAACGGGAACTTCGATTGGTGATAAGAAAAGTTAGTACCTTCAAAGTAAATTATTTATCTAAATATTTTTATTAATATCTATTGCTTGTAAAAAATCAAAGTTTTATAAAAAGTGATTATTAAAATTTAATGTTTATTTTTTTCTTAAAAAAAAAGGATTTTCGATATTTAATAATATTTTGCTTTTAATGACAATATATTTAATATAGTAACTGCCTCGGTAGCCAAGTGGTTAGCATGTGAGGCTGCAGATCCGGTTATCCTGGGTTCAAATCTCGGGTCAGGCCAAGCTTAGTTATTGAGTCTTTGAGGTATCTTAATTCTCAGTACCAGCTCGGAGCTGGGAAGTTGGCGGTATTTCACCTCCGTGCCTCAGAAAGCACGTAAAGCCGTCGGTCCTGCGCCTTAACTCTCACCGGTCGTGTCGAGTAGTCGTCCCACCGGAGTATGAGAGTGACAGGAATAGAGAGTGCACTTGTGTCTGGGCGTACACTTGTGCACTATAATATCTCCTGCACAGTTGGCTAGTCTCAGTGAGATTAGCCGCCCTGGCCCAAATCGGTTGGAAGGACATTAATCATTGTGTATATTTTCATATATATATATATATATATATATATATATATATATATATATATATATATATATATATATATATATATATATATATATATATATTGACAAATATCTCCCAATTGTAGAGTTCCCGTTCGTTCAGTATTTACTAATATAAAATATATCGACACAATTATGTAACAATCTTATAATAATATCTAGTTTATGATATTGCACGTTTAATTAGATTAGCTTCATAATATTGCAATTGTTAAGTTTAAGTTTTATATTGATAAATATCTATGTATAATATACATATATAATAATGTTCATGAGTTATTACAAAATGTGAATCAATATCTCTCTTTAAACAGTAATTTGCAATAGTGTTGCAGAAATACACCCATTTTGATAACATTTTAAATCGTATTTCTAAATTATTATGCAATAATGATCGATTAATCAGTTGATAGGTGTGATTGGTTGGCAGCTGGTTTTTTTATTGCTTCCTATTAGAAGAATAATACAGAGGGATCTCGCAAAAGACATGGCTGAAATATTTACTTTTTAATAATACTATTGTTGCGATATTACAATTTGGACCAGCGCGAGTCGGAAACGTATATTGCAATTAAATGCTCAATAAATAATGTAATTATGAGAAAATATTTAAAGAAAATTATACAAATAATATTAGAACACTTCTTTTTGACATTGACAGCTTATTTTAGTTTATATATATATATATATATATATATATATATATATATATATATATATATACATTATACGGATAATATATATATATATATATATATATATATATATATATACAATGTTAATATCTACCGATATGTTTTAAAAATTGAGAGTAATTCTCTTCACGTTATACAGTTTTGTTATAAGTTAATGTAAATATATAAATATAATATTAAATCGAGTTATAATCTAAATTCGAATTTAATTCATCTGTTGATATTAAATTATTATTTAGTATTTTTAGTTGTTTTATTTGTGTTTTCATTAACATTTAATGACTTTAAAAAAATATATACTTAATTGGGTAATCTTGTTTTACGTCCTAAGTAACATCTACAATACTGCACTGATTTTATCGTTTTTGTATAGAAGTGAATGGTCCCATACAATTTCTGAAGCAAATCCACTTAAAAGGAGAAAAAAATAATTTTAATGTCATTGTTAAGTCCGGTTTACAATTAAGTGTAATATCTATATTATTATAAAATTACATTAACATTATTAAAAAGCTTAAGAATATATTTTCAAAGCTCTTTTTAGCTTTAGTTTCGTATACCAAAGTAATGACTGACTTCTAACAAACCTAATACACTTTAAGCAGGTACATGAAAGCTTAGATTGTGTGACAACTTGAGACTTGAGGGGCTTCTAGATCGATACCAGTAATAGGTACCTACTTTTTAGTTCTTAAAGGAAAATTTTCAAAAGTGATATTTATTATTTCTGCAATGTATTTAGTACTAGCACTGCCCGCGGCTCCGCCCGCGTTCAGATGACCCAAAACCAAATTCTCACGTTTTACATATTAGTATACTCTTACATTGCAGTTTTTATATTTTTCCTCAGAAATGAGACATTTTCCCGCGGTAAAAAGTATCCTATATGTTGACCCGGATAACCAGCTATCATCATGCCAAATTTCATCAATCTCTCCAGTGGGTTTTCTGTGATGCGGTAACAGACAGACAAAAATTCTAAAAACTATAGATTCAGCCTCTGTACCTATAATAATGTTTATTTATTTCAATAAGTATTTCCAAAAAATATTTAATGTACAGATTCGGCTCAGTTACAATTTTATTATATGTATAGATTTACGTTATATTTTTTGTCAAAAAAGACAACAATCATATTTAAATTTGTGGCGCTCGTATTTGGTTTGGTTGGTTGGTTTGGTCTTTCATATTGTTAACATAAGATATATGTAGGTAGTTAAAACTTGAGGAAACAAGACTTTAATGAACTCTAACAGCTACACTATGTAATCATTATTTATGTGAAATTTGTTTGGCACTTTATTTCACATTATTCATCTTTATTTTTTTATCTATATTCATCTTTATTTCACATTATTCATCATATTAAAGTTTGTTTTAGTTAAGATATATTACCGGACTCGTAACCATAACTTAGTATTATTATAAGCTTAAAGCTAATGTTATTAGTCTCCACCGCAAAGCTCGGCCAATAATTGCAAAGCCTCATCCTGCTCCTCTTCTTCGATTTCTCCTTCGAGCCAGAACGTCTCCATCATACCTTTCCCCTGAAAATACACTTAATTAGTAAGCGATAAACAATATACAATAATATATGTTACATACTCTTAAAGTGTACTAAGAGTTTTTACAAGTGCTTGTCACAGGTCTACCTCCTTGGTGAGAATATAATTCAATTCTGAGCAGAACTGGCAAAATAGCAGAATATTTAATCGAATTCAATGGAAAGTCATAGTTTCTTAGTTCATTATTCGTTATCGGTAAGTTTGTTGCATATTTATACGGATATTATAAAACTGAACAGATTATTTATTATTATTATTTTTTTTAAATACGCATATGTTTGGTATCGCTTATCACATAAACTACCCAACCGAAGCTTAAAAAAACAAAAAAATATGTACAGCTTTATAATATTACCGATGTGGGTATAAGTATTGTATATATAATATGACGGTAGCTTACTTTTACTTTAGTTAGGCCTCTACGCCGAAGCCTAAACTTTCCAGCTGGTAGTTGTGCAGCAGTTTGCGATGATATCTGTATGCGACCGGGCTAAAGCAATAATTTTAATATAAATCTAGCAACTCACTCTCGCTCAGCTCGGGTTCGTTCCTAGTTACGTTTTAAGGTTTAGTATATATTTCTCAGAGATTAGATATTTTTCCGCAGTAAAAAGTATTCTATATGTTGACCCGGATAAGCAGCTACAATCATACCAAATTTCATCAAAATCCCTCCAGTGGTTTTTCCGTGATGCGGTAACAGACAGACAGACAGAGATAGACAAAAGTTCTAAAAACTATAGATTCTGCCTCTATATCGGTAATAATGTCTATTTCAATAAGATTTTCCAAAAAAATATTTAATGTGTAGATTCGGCTTAGTTAAAATTTTATTATATGTATAGATTACAATAAAATAATACCAATTCTTTTTACCTGACTGCGACGAAGCCCTAACGGTTAAACTAGTTTTATTGATTAATACATCATCAACTTCGTCATGATAATGCGAGTGTCAAAGGATATTATATGGATATTATTATACCTGACTCAAAATGGCGGTTTGCAGTTTCTCTTGTGCCAAAACATAGCTACATGCTATATCATACTTTTTAGCTACTTGTACCTGTCTCCCACTGCATAAAAGGTACTATTTGCCTTCGTTAATATTTGTTGTATCTTCTGTTTTAGTTCGTTTTCTACGCAGTCGGATTTTTTATTTTTTTATTCCAGCAATTCGTAATCCTTACCCTTGGCCTTGCTATTCTTCTAAATAAGTACTATATGTATTTAATATTATATATAGTGTAGAATTTGTTATATCTATCTAACATAAGAGGGTACCGGATTAAACCGTATGACCAGATGGTTGATACAGTAGATATATTTACATATATATTATAGTCTATAACAATAAGTACTTCAGACTTTAAAGGTCGTAAATTCTGTTGTTTTTTTAGTGAGTGATATTTTCGTCGATTTTAACTCGATTACAATGACTTATTTGAATAGGCTACTAGAGAGTGGTGTCAAATAAATATTGATTCTTTAGTAAGAGCGTAACTACCACTGTTGAGTTATATATAAATAAATAAAATGAATACTAATATTTAAATACTGAACAGTTTTTTTGGTATCAGTCAAGAGAAAGCAACTTAAACTTAAAATCTTAAGTAGTTATTCCGTGTTCACTTTAAGTACAAACAATAAAATATACTTTTTGTTATAACTATAAAGTATTTTAGTTTATATACATATATGTACATACTTCGCTAGTGGTTTGCATCCGACTTGCAGTATTAACTGTATCGCCGACCAAGCAATAACGTGGTTGTCGGAGTCCAAGTACGGCGGCATAACACAGCCCACTGTGAAGACCTGTAGGTAAGTTTAACGGTAATTAGATCGTTCATATTAGAAAGATTGACAAATACTTTATTGCACACACAAAGATGAATTCAAAGTACAAGTAAATGACACCAGAAAAAATGTATAACAGTAGAAAGGTGGTCTTATTGCTATGAGCAATCTCTGATAGACAATTTTTGCTGAAAAGATTTGAAGAGTTGGAAACGTGACAGCACAAATTCAATTAATATATGATTCATATTAATTAAAAAGTACCTACCTATATAGCTGGTATTTTTTTGTAATTAGTAAGAAATAAAAAATAAATTTGAAATACCGATAGTAAGCATAGGTAACGCCTGCGAAACAGCTAACGCAGCACTTGCAGTAGCTTGCGCGTGCGCACGATTTTTCTTCGGCGCTCCAGACACTACCATGTACACTGTACCTACAGTTTCTACCTAAATTTTACATACAATTTGCATTAATTTTAAAATTATAAATAAATCTTACATATAAAAATATTTTTTATTGAATAAATCTTCTGTCATACACTATCTGGACTAATCGTGCACATCTATACACCTATAAACATTTTTTTTTTGTTGACGTTGGGGAAACCCATCATGGGGACTCTACCGGCCGTCAATGGGTAGGGTACTGTGAGACTCCTACTCACTAAAACCCACAGCGGATACACCTATAAACATGCACCAGGCGTTTGAAGTAATACTTATTTCATAAAATCTAGCAATTTTTAATTTATTCAACTATTTAATTGTAAGTACTATGATTAAATTATAATATTTAAAAGTTTTACTTTATAAACGCGATGTGTATCCAGTAGGCGATCGATCCTAGAGTATACGTCGTTCATGTAAGCTACAGTCTGCATCACATCAGCTCGGGTTATAGTTTCCGTTAGTTGGAGACCGCAGAACATAATAGTTACAGAATCGAATTTCTGAAAAAAATACAATTATTATTTTAAATGTTATGATTAGTACAGTTGTTTAATGAACGATTGCTTTTATTTACTTTTCGTATAATTAGTTCCTTTATTACATACTAGTAGAACCGGCGGCTTCGCTGGCGCTAAAACTACAAAAAAATATCTATAAAAAATATAATATAAAAGGTAGTTTCATACAAAATTTCATCGTCTATTTTACCCCCTTATAGAATGAATTTCAAAAATTCTGAAACACGTATTTATTTAATTTTATAATTTTATTTTAAGTAATTCTGATCATAAACCTACAACTATATCCACACAAAAAATCACTCCAATCCGTCACTCCGTTTCGACGTGAAAAAAGGACAAACAAACAAACACACTTTCACATTTATAATATTAGTATGGATTATATTTTTAATTTTAAGTTTATTGATTCTCTTTATAAGTATTGGGAAACACCTCTGTATGATCTCTGTTTCATAATTATCCATTAAATTACCATGGGAGGCAAAGGATTTCCAGATCTAAGTTGGTCAGCAATGGTTTTGGGGATCATTGAGTACAACAGCTGATCTCCTCGCTTTTTCCACTGTTCTACAAGTCTACAGGATTTTTCCAACGTAAGACTTCTGCTTTCTGCCTTTTCGAATAGAAGTTCCAAACGAGAGAGATGTTGCCAGCCCTGTAATAGCATCTCCTTTGACAATCCATGGCCATTCATATCAGCTAAGTAGAGTCCTGCCTGTTTTAGCTCTTCAAGATCGTTGAAGCTGAAAATTGAAGAAAAAACTTATACTTTATAAAAAAATATAATTGGGCAGTAAAGTAAAAATTAATTTTTGAAATACACTCAATTTTTTTTCTCTAAACGAGACTTACATAGGACTGCATAAGAATATAAGAGCTTCAATTTCCTCTAGGAAATAAATGGGGCCTTTCAGTAAGATAGCTCTTGCTCCCTGTGATCCTCGCCTGGAGTCATTGATACAACGTGCTCGCCATCGCATTAACTCCAGCTCAAACATTATTGTCTGCATACATACCACCTGTAAATATTATTTAGAGGTACAAAATGTTTGGCTTAAAATACGTATATGTATATCTATACCAATATTATAAAGAGGTAAAGTTTGTGAGTTTGTGAGTTTGTGACGTTGTAGGAGGTATTCTCTGGATTTACTGAACCGATTTAGATGAAATTTGGTAAGAAGATAGTTTGAGACCCTGGGAAGGACATAGGATACTTTTTATTCGGGAAATCATCCCTTAAGGGGGTGAAAATAGGGATTAAAGTTTGCATTGGGAAGCAAGCTAAACACGAAGCCGAGCGAAGCGAGATACTTTAGGTATATATTTTTTACTTGACCAAGCGTCCCATATATCTACAGTTCGCTTTATTTGTTAATAATATTAATTTAATAACTTAAATTATGATAGCCGAAAACAAACTTATTATTAATTGTGTGGTGTACAAATAATATCAAAATGGTTTTTTGAGATGGATCAGAGATATTTTCTATTCAACACTTTGAATTGCAACGATAGTGTTCATTGCGGACCGAAAAATATCAGAATGTATTTTAAGCATAGCACGCACGTGAGTGCAAAACTAGGTATTAATTAACATTGTAATTGATTGTGATATTCTCTTCAAAAATAAAGAGCATCTACACGAAGCATCAGTGAGTTCATATTCATTTTAACCCTAAAATAATTATTAAAATATAACTTACTTTATCCCATGTAAATGTAACTTTAGGCTTTCTTAAACGAAGAACCTCGTTGATAGATGATTTTTCAATGCGATTGTGAGGACCTCCCCACGCTTCCATTAACTGAAATATACAACAATACAATTAAAACATTAGTTACACTGTTATTTAATATTTAAAGGACAATAATTTCTGTATACCATACAATAAAAATATTTTATAAGTAGAAGATATATATGTTACTATCTCGTATGTTAAGTGGCAGGTCCTGAGGACCTATGTTTGAGCCCTAATATCATACATTTTTCATGTCACATTAAAAAGGGCCAGAGAACGCTGTCAGACTAACAAATGGATATACAACCTCGATTTAGTAAAAGTATGGAAGTACCTTGTCACCAGCTTTCAGAATCTTCATCTTTCTGTCCAGCAGGACTCCAAAGGGAAACAACTGGAGCAGGAGTGAAACTGGCACTTGAGGGAGGAGACATGGCTGTGATTTCCGAGCCATCAGAGATTGAACCTGAAATATTTTACAATGACAATGTAGTAGGTATTATTAGTTATTAAACGCTATGAAAATCATTGTTTCAAATGTAAATTTTGTATATTAGGTATAAAAATTTGCTTTGAACTAGATATTTTCCAATCCAAAGATTAATGAAGAAAAGCATCCACTCACTCAAAATGTCTTTAAATCTGTACCTAGTTAAAGGTGTCATCGACCGCTAAGAGAATTGTCTTGATTATAAATATGAGCTGCACTTGTTCTATTCTATTCTATCTAGTGACTCATCCTCGTATCACTATGTGTTTTTCCAACAGACTAATATTTTTAACCGACTTAATGTACGGGGATAAAAGGCACAAATAGCCAAATACATAAGATACCTACTTGACTTTATTCCTGTTCTAATTGTTATGGGTACATTTATTGTATCACTAAATCAAAACTCTCTCTTATGTCGTAATTCAGAGCAATAAGATGTAGGGCTATGAATATGAAATTAAATGTTCATTGTGTGGTTTATTGATCATAATGACTTTCAAGGGAATGATACAAACAATAATATTATAATAGAAGTAAGCAAGGCCACCAATCATATCTCGAGTACAATAGCGCCCTTTAAAGGTTCTTGCCTTAAACATGAACAACCCATTGACTTGTATACGGCAAAATAAATTGAAAAGGTACAAGAAAAGCTACTTTAACGACAGCAAAAAGCCATACATTAGCACAAATATAGGTGCTTCATTAAACGACCGGGTTATATGCAATGTTTGAAATAAGCTGGCATGTGCCTGAAAATCTAATTATGCACGCGAAGGGTTAAAAATATAACGTTAAATGACAAGGAGTATTTGTTTTAAACTTTTTTTATCAATTATTATTAAAATTAACATAGTATTAGTAAGTTTTCGTCTGGATAATATTTGAATTTTGGATTGGATTTGGATTGGAGAAATTGGATTTCTACAATCGATATCTATAGCTAATAGAATATTAAAAAATATTTATCACATTCCGATCATACTTGTATAACTTAGCTAATGGCTTCATACCTGCTTTATTTCCATACATTTATTAGTTTTTTAAAAGCAATTAATTCAAGGGGTAAAGATAGAATGAAATTGTTTTTATATTAACGCATATCTGTCACTAAATACTATTTTATGGAAAATGAACTCATTATATTTTGTTGCTTTTAAATACAAAAAATACTCGTATTTTCACGTTGTTTTAGTAAAATTTCGATTTTATAGGTATTTATTTACCCATGAGTATTTTATTTCATAGGTATTCTCTGAGAATTATAGAAATAAAATTGAAACATTTTTTTTAAATAAGTAAGTACATTTATATCTTCGCGCATTTTTCTTTTACTCACTACTTTTCGCCTGCATATAGAAATCGAGTGCTTAATGATAGTACACTGTACCTAAAGCTATCCATTGTTTTTAACACATTATGACTATCTCCACGAGAAACTATCCTATGACACAGTACTAGGCTAATTGCTGTGCACATATCTAACTCAGCTATTGCCATGTGAACTGTGCTTTATTTCATTCATATAAAGTTCATTCGAATAAACGATTTCTTTGATATTATCTGTAAAATAATAAGGTACTTTTTCATCGTTATCGCAAGCTATGAACTTATTGTGGAACTTACTTTCTTTTCTTATGTAAAGCTTATAAACGTATATAACCTACTTTCGCCCATTGCTGGACAAAAGCCTCGATCATTGGCTCAAATTCGTAATAATACTTGACAGTTTAGTACGCTGTACCTAAAGCTATCCATTGTTTTTAACACAATATGACTATCTCGCTATTGCCATGTCAAATGTGCTTTATTTCATTAATATAAAGTTCATTTGAATAAACGATTTCTTTGATATTATCTGTAAAATAATAAGGTACTTTTTCATTGTTATCGCAAGCTATGAACTTATTGTGGAACTTACTTTCTTTTCTTATGTAAAGCTTATAAACGTATATAACCTACTTTCGCCCATTGCTGGACAAAAGCCTCGATCATTGGCTCAATGTATTTGACCATGCAGGCATGGTGGGTTAAAAACAATAAACTTTTGCTCGAGTTGAATTCGTAATAATACTTGACAGTTACTTAAACCATATATTATAGCCAACAGCGCAAAAAACAATATTTCTATATTTTAAATAAAACTATCTTTTTGGATTATTTCGCGGATTTATTTTGATTTCTGGTTCCCGATGTTTCGAATGCTTTACAGCAATCATGGTCACGGGAGAGACTAAGGTTATAGACGTCTTAAAGTCGTTATACACTTGTTACAGACAGTGCCTACCCACTTTTTTACAAATTTTATATTGCTATAGTAAAATAATACCTCTGACACAGACCACACTGTTGAGGAAAATATATAAAATACTCACGTAGTCGCTATTGTCGAATTCCAGTCTCAATACGGCTACGTAATAGTTCCCTTCTAAGCTTTCCTTCACAATGGACACCTTCAATTTTAATGAGAAAATGTCTTCAGCGATCTCGTATAACTGGCCTGTGAAATTATAACTTGTAACAATATATCGCCAGCTTCCCACATGCCTTTATTTAATTCTATATAATTCATAGCAATTAAACTTGATACCCGTGTATATGAGAGCACATAAACGATATATTTAAGTCTTATTTAAATAAGCGGATCTAGACTCAACTGATTGAGGTCTTGGCAGAGAGAGATTTTCCCAATGGCGGTTTAATTTCAATGGAAACTAATAAAAGAAGTTCTTATATGTATTTATTTAGATTAAACATATTTTCGACCGAAGTTAGTTCTGCGACTTGCCGATAGGGAATAGAACTACTCATAGCCAATAACTTAGTTATTTTCAATCAGTTGTAATCCTAATACAAAAATAAAAAAGTCTCGTATAATCCCGCACAGCTGTTCTCGAATAAACAATGATTAAAATTCTTATAAGCATAGATATACAAACGTTCATCATATTATTATTTGACAGACATCACTTAACGCAAAAACTTAAAATTCAGTGCGCAATGTAAACCCCGTTATAATTTTTTGGATGTATAGATATATGTATGTATGGATCCATACCACTGTGTTTTATTACTATTAAGACTTAAATATATTAGAGGTATTTTATAATTAAAACATTTATAACTCCCTCAAAAAATAAATTAATGTAAATATATAGACCACTTTTGTAGTTTTGCCCTTGAATTCTAACCTATACCTATGTATTTATATATAACATCGGCTAAGACGGTTGTTTTTGCCGATATTTTATGCTTTAGTTGCTTATTTTCAGCTTGATTGATATTTTTTTTATATGTTCATAGATAATAGTCCCTCCACGGCGGACACGCCGGCGTTACAGTTAACAATAGATTTCTTAAAAATTTACATTAAAAATGTAACAAATGTGTTCTTACCCATTAGGTAGTACGTGTATCCAGCTCTGGTACTACTGTAGCGTAGTTCCGCACCGTGGATGTGCGCCCTCGTCAGTTGCATACAAGGAGATCGCATACGCGGGAACGTGAACCGCATACGTTGATGGATATTATCCACTGATTGGAGAAACGTGCAGAAATACCTGCCTGTTGCTCTAATCATTGTGTCATAGCTGAAAAATATTCTAGCTTTAATACTGACCTTTTTTTTTAAATCACAGAAAGCCTCGGTAATATAAAGGTGATTACAACTAAATATTAATGTGCAACCAGAATGTTAAAGTTATCAATGCCAGATTTCGTTTTTAGCAAATAAATTAAAAAAAACTTACCCATAGTTAGAAAAGAATTTCACAAAACATCTTCCAAAGAAATGCATAACCTTTTCAGGGGTGCCAAGCTTTTCCTTTAACGCGTTCAGTCTATCTGCATTCACTAAACTTAAACTATTTAGTCTGGGTCGCAGTGAAACTGTAGAACCACGGCGTTTATGAATATCCAAGGCTACAGTGCAACTGTTTTTTCTTATAGCAGGTTTTAGAGAGCTCCTTCGTGCAGGAGAAGCACTAGTACTTGGGGCATCTTCATTATTTTCAGTGTTTTCGGTGATTTCAGTAGTCTCAGGTATGATTTCTTCAGACACATCCTTATCTTCCTTACAAATGGAATGTTCCAAGTGTACACCAAGACTACGCCTGTCCCTTACATTGACGGATGCTGGAACCAAACTTAGCTCTTCGCTTTCACTTATCTTGTTAGTAGATAGTGTGGAGCCGTGTGTTGGTGACCGAATCTCTTCGGAAGAGGTATAAGCATGTATTTCTTTCTTTGTAACAGCTGTTAGAGCGTTTGTTGCTGTGAATGGGCATTTGAATGTTTGGTTTCGATTGTCGCCATGGACTGAAGAACTACGCCATGTCGGTTTGGATTTAAAAGACAGTTTCCTCGGCGCTGGACTTCCAGGATTAGAAGTGGCTGGACTGAGAGGGTCCTTTGTTAGTAATCTGGCCAAAGCACATGCTAATCGTGGCATGAGTGTATCCGGATATTGCTAAGAGAATATAAGATGATATTTAATTCAAAATAACAATATATTTAGGAGTAGGTAGTAAAAAGGAATAGAGAGTGCACTTTTGTCTGTGTGAACACTTGTGCACTGTAATATCACCCGCAAAGTTGGGTAGTAGGTTGAAATCGAACCGGAGGGCATCTATAGGACGATATCGACAATAAATATATTGTTGGCTAGTGTAACTAATACTCCAGATGTCCTATGTGCTATTTCAGACTATAATCTATCTCTGTGCCAAATTTCATCCAGATCCGTTGAGCCATTCTGGCGTGATTATGTAACAAACATCTAAACATTCATCTAAACTTTCACCTTTATAATGTTAGTAAGACACTAGTATGTACTTATATAACTGAGCACTTTATAGATTTATAAAGCTTTTATATTTTAAATAAATTTTATTATACTGTTTGCTAAAAATACATCTTGTTACCTGTCTTGTAAGGAACACAGTGTTCCTGGCCCCTGCCTCCCGAAGAATAGTTTCCCATATTTCTTCTCCACATTCTTCCTGAAATTTTTTAATGATTTTACCCTAATATTTTAGGTTTAGTTTATCTAGTACATCGCTGTCTCTCAGTCCATCTGTCTTATTATTAAAAGGTTTTATCTTCTGTGAAGTTTTTGTGAGTAGGTATCTATCTTTTGTCATGGCAAAGTGTGAGCTAAACTATCGTTAAAGGATTCGAACACACAACAAAAATAATTTTATTAGAATAGAAAAATAGAATGAAATTAAAGTATTGTTTAAATTTCACTCTCTGTATATCTGAAACACTAGCGGCTCACCCTCGCTCCGCTCGGGTTCGTCCCTAAGTACATTTTAAATATATATAAATAGTTATTAGCAAGCGTTACCTAAATAAATTTTGATTTTTTCGCGAATTTATCTGATGTTTTAATAGTTATTCTGCTATTCGGGGCGGAGACAAATCCAACAAATCAAAGATCATAAAAATCGGTCTAGCCGTTCTTGAGTTTTAAATGGTGTAACTCACCCGACTTCGTTTTATATCTTCTTATAATATAAAAATGAATCGCTGAATGTGTTGGTAAGCGCAAAGCTCGAGAGCAGCTGAACCGATTTCGCTAATTCTTTTTTTAGAATATTCCTTGAAGTACGAGGGTGGTTCTTACGGAGAGAAAAATTTAAAAAATTGCCTTGAAAAAGTCTAAAAACAACACTTTTATATACTCCCATAGAAAAGATTCGTAATGATACTTAAAAGTCAATTTGAACTTTTTAATACTATACCATAAAGTTTTAGTGTTAATGGAGAGGTTCCGGGAAAGCAAAACAATCGAGTGACGTTATATTATTAATGTCAATATTTGTCAATTTTATTAACAAGAAAAAAATGTATATGGCTAACCCTGGCTAGTAACTATTTATATCTATTTAAAACGTACCTAGCGACGAACCCGAGCGAATCGAGGGTTAGCCGCTAGTACTTATATACATAGATATAGATGCGCACACTGCCACTGACCGCAGTATTAAAAACTCGTGTTATTCAGAAATCTGTATCACGCAATCATGAGATATTATCTATCTTCCACCCTTTCAACCTTTCTCATTTTATATATCTACTTATTTTGACGTAGAAAGAAAACATGTATTTACTAGACGTTTGAATTGTTGTTGCGTAATAAGAAGGATACGAGTTCGATTCGCACGTAGGGTAAAACTAAAAACGATGAAGATAGACTATACTAGATTTTAATATTATAAGGTTCATGCAATTATTGTTTGATTAAAATGGCAACAGTCTTTAGATCTTATGAGCCATCTCTATTAGACGCATTTTCCGTTCTAATAAAATCCTACAATATACATATAATGCACTGCACTTTATGTTACGTCGATTTTCTTAATTACGATCGATGGAAGCCTATAATATTAATCTTTTATTTATTTTAACTTACTTTATTTGTTAGGAAAATAAATATTTGACCCTTTACATACAATACGGAATCCTAAAAAGTATTAAAATCTATTATTATTAGTAATATTTCTTTTATTATTTTAGTACACATATTTTTTTTGCTATTCAGATATACCCATTATTATTTAAAAATAAGCTTTATCTAAGAATACTTTTATGAAATCATAATAAGGTCATGAAAAACAATGAGATTGACATGAGAGATCAATGATAAATTAAACTTAATCTACATTATAAAAATCAATTGCCGTTCGTTAGTCTCGCTAAAACTCAAAAACGATTGAATAATTCTTTTTTCATCGGCTAAACCTAATATTGGGGGTGTGGCAGGGGTGGTTTAAGTATTAAAAAAAATAGGGAAAACCCGAAATACACTTGGAAAATCGAAAAGCTTAAAGTTATTTTGTACCTACGTATATGTAATATACAAACATATTGTGTAAAAATAAAATGTGTTCAAAAAAATATTAAATTGGATATTGAAACGTTGCGGCAAATAAAATTAAGAAAAAATACTGGTTATTGCACCTCGGGTCTTCTGCACGACGTTGGTAAACAACAGCATTCCCAAGGAGGATTGATGTCAGGCAGGCGGCCGGGCGTAAAACTTTTGCCAAAACCGATCAGCAGTATGATAGACGTACTGCGCTGACCCGAAGTAATTTGGGAAATGGGCAGGAAGAAGAAGAAGTATATATAATATATAGTCTATCTATTCCATACTAACCGTTAATAAGTAGGTACCCAGGGACGAACCCGAGCGAAGCGAGGGTGAATCGCTAGTTCTCTATAAATTCCTTTTCTCATTTTATGATTTATTTTCTTAATATTAAAATAAAAAAAAAATAACTTCTGAAGCTAAAAAAGTCGTAAAAGTAAGTTTAATTTAATATTATTAATTAATAGTATTATTAATGAATAGTAGTAATTACTAAAGACTAAAAACATAGTGTTAAATTAAGCTTTAGTTCACGTAATTTTCAAAAGTTAATTGTAATATATTTTTAGGAAATAAATGATCTCACCCTGAACATAAACATAAGCGTACTGTAAAAAACTTACAACAATAAAATGCTGCACACTCTCAAGTAACCACCCGTACATTGTAAAAGAAGATAAGCACAAATTAAAATTCACTATTCAAACACAAATTTTATTAGGATTTTCTACGTTCAATCTTTATACGACTTTTCTGTAAGGCTTTCGCGCTAATACTGAACGCGTAAGGGATGTTGCAAACAGCTTCGAGGACATTTTTATCCGTAGAATTATGATTCGGATTATAATAAAGTATTGGATGTAGTAACGATTGTATGTTATCGAAAGAAAAAGAAAATTAACTTATACTGATTAGAAGCAGTATTTATATAAAAATAGGCAAAGACAAAAAAAACCCTTTTGCACCTTTTTTCCTTTGTGTGTCAACCTGATTTGTTTTTTTTGTTTAGTAGCTATTGACAAGCTTTAGTATTAATAATAAAAAAAATGGTCGATTTTCTACCACTTGGCGAACATTATTTGCAATAAATAAGGTACTTATTATTTTTAATTATTAAATTCATTGCAAAGTTAAATGAAATATTAAGTACTCACCCTCGCTCCATTCGGTTTCGTCCCTCGCTAGACGTTTTAAGGATTCTCAGAGACAAAATATTTTCCGCAGTAAAAAGTATCTTATATGTTGACCCGGATAACCAGCTATCATCTTACCAAATTTCATCAAAATCTGTCCAGCGGCGTTCTCGTGATGCGTTCCCAGACAGACAGACAAAAAATCTAAAAACTATAGATCCGACCTGTGTATCTAAAATAGTGGCTATTTCAATAAGATTTTCCAAAAAATATTTCATGTACGTAATCGATATACTCGTAGTTAGAATTTTATTATATGTATGAAAGAGTATATCATGTATTAATTTAGTAGTGTATTAAATTAGAAGATGGAAGTTATGTTTAAGTTACTTTCTTTGAATTTTTTTCTTCTAAGGACTTACAGAACAATAGATTTGGCTTAAATGATTTAGGCACAAACGTGCCTTATCATAGAATAAGAAGCTGATGATATTAACATTGTTTATTGTAAATTATAAACTTACTGTTAGCGTCAAAATTGCGCGCATAAAATTATTTTTACCGTATGTTTAGTATTTATATATATAAAAAACTCTTACTAAAAATAAATCGTACCGAGTACTTGTATTCACTTTTTAATATTCTATCAGTGACACCCATTGTATGCCATATACAATATATGTAATGGGCTTTACAACATAGCATGTGCTCAAAATCATTATTTTGATATGACGTAATTTATGTTGGTTCTTTTAAAATAACAAAACACTTTTAGAGTTTGTTATTTAAAAAAAAACATCAACATAAATTTACTTACATACTTTTTGTGAGAGAAGAGACTCATAAAAGGAAACCTCCTAGAATTAGACAATACAGCGTAAAAATAAAATTCTATGGGTAGATGCTCTGAGGTCTTATAATATTTAAAGTTTTAAATAGTAAAGTTGAATATAATATTAATAATATGTTAAATGAGGAGAAAATATCTATATGCGATTCTGAACTTTCGTTCAGATGTTTTCTCCATTATACATATCTATGTAATTATTAATTATAAAAAAATAATATTAATTAGATAACAGCACTCTGTGTCGGCTTCACTGTACTGTTTTTTTTTTAATTAAAAATAAAATTATATTGTTTCCTATACAAACTGACACACCTTGTCACCTTTATAGGAACTGGTTTTCTGAAGATACTTTCTTATCTATGATATTGTACGAATAGGTTGCCTCGTCGATAGCATGTACGGCTGCCTGGGTTCGAATCCCGAGTCGGTCAAATACAGTTATTAGGTTCTTCTGTCAAGAAATTCTCATCAATTATTATAGCCTAGAGTTGGGAATTTATCGGTGTTACTTCCATTTGGTCTGGACAGCACATAGAGCCCTCAAGTCTGCGTCTAATCTCTTGCATTATCAAATTGTCGTTCAACCGGACTTTGAGAATATCTTCCGCACCATGGCTAATCTCAGTGAGATTGGTCGCATTGTTTATTGGGTCAGGAGGATTTTAGGAATAGGCTGTACAAATTGAAGCGCTCATAATAATTGCCTATATAAATATTACTTTATGCAGAGTAACTTTCTTCATGTAATATTCTGTCGGTCAGCTTTTCTTTCAATGAGCATTTTTTTTTAATTTTTGCATATTATACGCAATATGTTGCGGAATAAATGTTAAAGCTATACAAAATATTTATTTTTACGTAAATAAGATTACATAAACAATACGTGCGTTTAGCGCGTGATATGAAAACGCAGAACGCATGGTGAATTTTGCTAGACACGTATCCGCATTAAGACGTTCTACAAATGGACAATATTGTTGACACGCTTTTATTATCATCACATGTTATCATGTAATTGTATCTTAGAAGTCTATTTCAACACATTTCTAATTACCGTATGCTTTTGAAACTTTGCAAGAATATAAAATCTGGTTCACAATGATGAATTTAAAACCATCGAGCTGATATGACGATGGAGCAATGTGATGAATAGCGTCACTCTTTAATGGTTTCTTGTAAAACTTTCGACTTTATCTGTATCGTTTATCTATCTATATCTTTTTGTTATTTCTATCGAGACATAAGAAAAAATTCAGCTCAAAACTTAATTTGCGATAATAGTAAGAAAAATGTTTTTATTTCGATGTTAATAAATGACGTAGCTATTAATGCACAAAAAAGTTTTTGTATATATAAAGCAGAAACACCTATCCTCGTTGCTTCAAATAAACCCACTGAATCTCAGTAAATCTACAATTAGGCTCACTTTCAGCTTTATAAATGTTACTTCATAGGTGCCTAGAACGCTTTAGATATAAAGAAACGCATAGGTATAAAAGCTATATAGGTATGTCTTATATTTTATTGTAGGTACATACTAACATTGCCCGCGGCTCCGCCTGCCCGCGTTTAGATGACCAAAAACCAAATTCTTAGGTTTTACATATTAGTATAAGTACTCTTACTTTGCAGTTTTTGTATTTTTTCTCAGAAATGAGATATTTTCCCGCGGTAAAAAGTATCCTATATTTTGACCCGGATAACCAGCTATCACCATCAAATTTCATCAAAATCCCTCCAGTGTTTTTTCCGTGATGCGGTAACAGGCATACAGACAAACAAACAGACAAAAATTCTAAAAACTATAGAATCGGCCTCTGTATCGATAATAATGTTTATTTTAATAATATTTTCCAAAAAATATTTAATGTACAGATTCGGCTTGGTTACAATTTTATTATATGTAGATAGATATAGATGATTAAGTGATGTCGCGTCGTAAGTGACGTTAAGTCAAACTAAAGAATAAAATCCAAAAATCGTAAGTTCTGGTGTTAACACGAATTCGAACTTTTACGTTTTTAAATTGTTCTTCTGTAAAAACATTCGCCTTCGAGAGTAAGAAAATAACTCTACATAGAGTAGAGTTGTTGTTATAAGTATTTTATTTTCTAAGAGAAATTGTAATAAGAATAATTCCATAAAAATCTTATTATCATTAGGAATGTGTATTAAACTTATTGTAATGGCTTTCACCATTAAATATTATAAAATTATTTTAAGGTAAAATGAAACTCAATAGTGCATTTATTCCTTCTTTTATTTCCATTTTATTAATTATTATACTTAAACATATTTAAATAAATGATATTAGTGCTAAATACTAATTAAAAAAGATATAAAAATAACTAAAAAGTGCATAATAATAACTAATCCATTTAAATTAGAAGCTTTTGATTTATTTTAAATTCCGTTTAACAAATTCATAAAAGAGTATTTTTTTTTTATTGTTTTATTACAATTCTCCTCTGACACTGGTCAGAGACTTTGTTATTTCTAAGTTTCTTATACTATAGTACATATTTTTGTCATTGATTATGATGCGGGATTCAAAAAGGTAAAAGGCACATTTTTTTTTTCTTTTTTAATATTGTGCTGTGCCTTTTGCTTACAATTTTTGTTATGTATGTGCAGAAGGCTATGAATATCTTGTGGTGTTCTTTGTGCATGAGTAAAAGGTGTAAGTTTTTTATTTTTGTAGCAATACTTGTCTGGTTTTCCAGGTCACAGCGTGCCATACTGAATCTTGGGCATTGTGTAATAAGATGGATTATGGTTTCTTCAACACCATGGTCGCATTGACATCCTGGGTTGGCAATGCATTTGAACCTTGCCAAGTATTCAGCATAGCCGCCGTGACCCGTTAGTGCTTGGGTTATTAATGGGTTAAGTGTCACTTTCTTTGTAAATTTGTGTGCCATTTGTATATTAGAAAAATTTTGGTTATTTTGCCTTTGTCACTGCTCTTTTACATTTCGTCCCATTTGGTTACTGTCTCTGAGCGGATTACTAATTTTAGGGAGGAAATAGGGAAGGAATCGTATATTGGTGCTATCTTTTTATTTTGGGCTGCTGTTTTAGCTAATTCATCGGCTTTTTCATTCCCCACTATTCCCACGTGTGCTCTTACCCAGAAAAATCTGATTTTCTTGTCAGTCTTAGTTAAGTCGTGTGTGTTCTTTTTTATGGGGAGCGCTAGTGGGTGGGTTGTATCGTGTCTGGTTAAAAGGTCGAGTGATGACCTTGAGTCGCTTAATATGTCTATTTTCTTTTCCCGAGACCTCATTGCAATCTCAGTGGCTTGGTGGAGCGCGTACATTTCGGCCTGAAACACTGAGCAGAAAGGCGCTAAGGTAAATTTTCTGCTCAATGTTTCCTGCCCGTCCTTTCAACAGGACAATGCCGCGCCCACCCCGTCACTGATCTTGCTTCCGTCCGTGAAGATGCACAGGCCATTGATACTGTGCTTCTCCACGGTTTCCGGGTTGAGATCTTCGAGTCGGGTGTACGTAATCGACGCTTCTAACGCGGGGTGTGGTAGTTTGTGATAGGGAATCTTTGTTTCCACTTCTCTACCCTTTAACAGGGCCAGTGGTTTACCCCTTTTTGCTTCGTAGAGCCTGGCAGCTTCTTCTGCTCTTAGCTCGAGTGGCAGAAGGCCTGCAAGTGCCAGGGCTGCCTC